AGGTCATTCCCTCCCTCCCAAGGGGGCAGCCTGGACTGAGATAGCTGCTTCCCAAGAAACCTAAGAGGCTTAAAATGTTGGTGGGTGTTATATGTCCCAAGGGTCATGAAAGGGATAAAGACTAATTTTCTAGCACTAGCAATTATAACTTTCCCAATAGTTGGCTTTCCTTCTTGTCTATTATTTAAAGATAATATAACTATATTTTTGCAAGAATTAGTTGAATCATCTTACATGGAAACTGTAAGTTACAACCTAAAGTTGGTGGCTGTTTATATTTTATGTACCAGAGGGTTAATATCTTTTTATAAAACAACATATCCAATCCAACTTACCTATGTCTTTGGCCCTTGAAGCTAAAGGTCGTCTCCACTGTGTGACAAATTTGTAAGCATCAAGTCGGATTTCAATGATGTTATTCAGTAAGGCCAGAAGTGGTGCTAGGGGAAAAGCTGCCACAAAGATAGTTGTGAATCCAAACTGAAGAACTGGAGAAGAGAAAAAGGAAAGAGAACAAACAGTATTGGTTTTCCATAACTATTTTCAAAAAGATAATAACCTGAATATGTCATTGTTTTAGCCCATTATTTTTCTCAATACAGAAGGACACAGGACACTAGAAAGAGAAGTACTTGAGGTCCTCAGAGCAATGACATCCTAGGACCAATGAGCATACTTAGAGCTCAGATCTTGTTTTCTAAGTGCTATTCTTCACTTAGGAAGGAACCAGGACTCCTTAGAAAAATAGTTGATTCCTGGGCTGTGGCAGGAAACATACAAGATGAGCCTGGAATATCTTGTGATGCCAGAAAGCAAGGCAGTGCTCAAAAATGATGGGGACATGTCAAAAGGGCAAAACTGCTTGAAGGCACTCTTACTGTCCATAGCAGGAACAACATTTTGTTTTCATTTCTTACATATTTACTACACTGGTACTGTGCACGGAAGGTCCATGCTTGTTCAATGATTTATATGTAATTATAATGAAGAAAGGTCAGGAAATCAAAGAAAACCTATCAAGTGGAAATAAAACATAGGCAAAAATAAATAAATAATGAAAGTACTGAATTATAATGAAAGAATAAAATGAGTATCTGTGATATACATATTAGTACTGTTCTATACTAATATGAATAAATAAATAAATGAGGGGAGGACAGGGATAGCTTTTCTTTACAGCAGAATTCTAGTTAATTAATGTAGAAAGAATAATGAAAATAGAAAATCACCATTAGCAGACACCAAAGTAATAATTATTGCAGGCAAGAACCATGAAAGAATGATAAAATTAGTGGGGAAATTATGATGAAAAAGAGGATATTTACTTATTCTCAAAGTATCTCCCTACATGATACTTAATAATTACAAAGGCAAAAACAATAACTTTATGGTGGAGAAAGTTGGCAAAGAACACCTTCACCATATGATGAAAGTCAGTATCACCAGCAATAAACATACTGACCTCACGTACCCCTCCCTGTATAATGTGCAGAAGCAGCACCTCACTCCTGTGGCACTCCTGCCCAAACCACATCACCCAATCTGATCATGAGCAGACATCAGATAAATCCAAATAGCAGGGGCGTCTACAAAACTAATGACCAACATTCTTCAAAACTGTCAGGATCACAAAAAACCAAAGAAGCCTAAGGAAATGTCATAGATTGGAGGAAGCTAACGAGACACGGCAGCTAAACGTAGCG